ATTTTTATTCAGAATTTGTATAAAGAAAAGAAAAAAGAACTAACAAATACAAAAATAAACATTTTAACATAAATTATTCATCCTATTTTCATACTATACAAAAAGAAAGCATATGTTCATACAAAAAATAATAATATAACCATTAGGCTCTCCTTAGCCTTTGACTTCCCTTCACCCTTTTGGTAAGTATCAAATAAGTCCCGGGTTGCGTAATTAGTTTATTAAAGTTTATAGTTATTAGCTGATAAAGTTTTTCTAATACCGCCAGTTCCTCCTATATATCCGTTCCAATATATTTCCAAAACTTACTCCAATTTTTTTGAAATTTCTGGTCGTCTTGGTCTCGTATTCTGCCTGTTAATCTATCTAGCTCGGCATAGTTGATCATTTTGACCTGCCAGTCACTTATGTTAGGAATAGTTTCTATTTTCCAGTTTTGTGCCAGCATAATTCTTGCGGCTGTGGTGGCATAGAGAAATATTTTTTATCTTCATTTTTATTTCCTTACCCATTATTCCCAGCAAAAAGGCCTCAGGTCTCTTGGGAAAAGTGTATTTAAAAACTTTTTAAGTTCATTATAAATTGCTTCCCAAAAACCTTCACCTTGCTGCATTGCCACCACATATGGTAGAGGTCTCCCTCCCCTTCACCACATTTCCAGCATGTCTTATTTTCTGATCTATAGATTTTAGCCAATTTTGCCGGCGTAAGATACCATCTATAGAGCATTTTCCAAACATTTTCTCTCAAACTCGTACAGGCCGTAAATTTAATGTCTCTATTCCACAATTTCAACCACTTTTCAAACTCGATGTTATAACCGAAGTCAATTGCCCATTTAATCATTGCCTCTTTGACTTCCTCGTCTTTTGTATGCCATTCCAGTAATATGTCATATAATTTAGACAATGTTTTGTTTTTGCCTTCTATTATTTCTATATTGAATTTTGATTTCTTGTCCTCAAAGCCCATTTTTCTTTTATCTTGTTTTAACATATCATTCACCTGATGATATTGTAACCAGCCGGTGAATTGATCCTTTATTTCCTCATACGGTTTAAGTTTAAGCCCTTGTTCTGATTTTCTTAGCAAATCTTCGTAGGTGGCTGTCTTCCCTTCCATGTTGGTTTTTTTATTGTTAAGACCTCTACTGGTGAAATCCACCATGGTGTTTTTCTTTCGAGAAGGTTCTTATTTCTTTCCCAGACCTGATATATTGGTCCCCTGAAAATATGGTTTAAGAAAGCCCTGTGGACTTTCACCTTCTCGTACCAGAGATATGCGTGCCACCCATACCGGTTATTGAAACCTTCTAAATCCAGTAGGTCTCTGTTCTCCAATTTTATCCAATCTTTTAACCAAAGTAGGCACGCTGCTTCATAATATAGGCTCAAATCTGGGAGGGCAAAACCTCCTCTTTCCTTTTTATCAATTAGTATTTTCATTTTAATCCTTGGTCTTTTCCCCTGCCAGATGAATTTCATCAGGGTTCTCTGCCATTCTTTACATTGTTTTAGACCTTTAATAACTGGAAGAGTTTGAAATAAAAACAACATCCTCGGCAAAACATTCATTTTAACCACTGCTATCTTCCCTAAAAGGAAAATTTCATCCTCCCCCATATTTCCAGATCTTTCTTTATTTTTTTCCATGTAACTTCATAATTATCTTTATATAGGTTTATGTTTTTTGCCGTAATCCACACTCCCAAATATTTCACTTTTTCACCACCATGATTTCCACTTTTTGTTCTAGATCTTTCGTTTCTTCCTTAGTTAGATTTTTAACCAGCATTTTAGTTTTATTCTTGTTTACCTTAAAACCTGCCACCTCTCCAAATTCCTCAATTTTTGTAATGCTTCTTTTACACTATCTTGTGGATCTTCCAAAGTCAAAACAATATCGTCGGCAAAGGCTTTAATTTTGAATTCCTTCTTTCCTACTCTAATTCCTTTCACTTCTGTTGCCTCCCTCAGTCTCTTATTAAGTACTTCCAAAATTACAATAAATAATAAGGGGGACAGGGGCAACCTTGTCTGGTCCCTTTATAAATGTTAAAATATTCTGTTGTATTGTTATTTATCACCAGCTTTGCTTTCTGTTCTTTGTATATTGCTTCTATGCCTCTTCTAAATTTTTCGCCAATTCCCATCCTTTCCAAAGCCTTCTTTAGGAAGTTCCAGGAAACATTATCAAATGCCTTTTCGGCGTCTATGAAAACCAGTGCGGCTTTTCTGTCTATTTTCATGTCCAGGTATTCAATAATGTCAATCAAATTCCTTACATTATCCCGTGATTGTCTCCCTGGGAGAAATCCTGTTTGATCACCATGAATTTTATTAATCAAGACCTTCTTTAATCTTTCCGCCATTATGTCTGCAAATAGCTTATAATCATTATTTAATAATGAGATTGGCCTATAGTTCTTTACTTCCATAGTGTCCACCTCTTTTTTAGGGATCAATATAACATAGGCTTCCTTCCAGGTATTAGGTATCTTTCCTTCTCTCAATATATTGTTCATAACCTCTCCCAGCACTGGTGATATTTGGTTAATTAATGTTTTATAATATTTGGCCGGAAGGCCGTCCGGTCCCAGCGCCTTCTCAGCTTTCATCTTTTTAATAGCCTTTTTATCTCTTCCTGTGTTATTATCTCATCTAGTGCTGCTCTTTCATCTTCTACAATTTGTTCCAGATGGTGTTTTTGCAGAAATTGATCTATTTCTTGTTCTGTTTCCTCTCCTCTTTTGTACAAATCCTTATAATATCTTTGGAATATTCTTTTTATTTCTTTTGGTTCTTCCATAATCATATCTCCTTCTTTTATTTTACTGATCGTATTCAACTTCTTCCTTTCTCTCAACTGCCACGCTAGATATTTCCCTATCTTATTTGCGGACTCAAAGTTCTTTTGATTCATCCTTTTAATTTTCCACTCTATCTCTTGGTTAATTATTGTAGCAAATTTAGCTTGTAGTATTTTTAAGTTCTGTTTTAAACTCTCTTCACTAGGGTTAACAGTTAATTTTCTTTCATTTTCCATAATCTGTATTAAAATCTGCTCTTTCTTTTTTTCTTTTTCTTTTCTTAATTGGGTATTTTTCTGAATCAAAAAACCCCTCATGACCGCTTTTCCTGCGTCCCACACCATCTCTATGGAAGTTTCTCCATTTAAATTCCACCTAAAGTATTCTTCAATTGTTTCTATAGCCTTATTTACTATCCTTTGATCATTGAATAAATATTCATTCATTCTCCATCTGGCTGTTTTAACCTCTCTACCTTTTAACTCCATGGAAACCGCACTATGATCAGATAAAGTTCGAGGCCAAATTTCAGACTTAATTAAATTCTGTACCAATTCCCTCGAGACCCAAATACTGTCTATCCTCCCCCAGCTCTGATTCGGATTTGAAAAAAAGGTGAATTGTTTTGCAGTAGGGTTTTTAAACCTCCAAACATCCGTCAATCCCAAATTATTTACCATGTCGAAGAAAGATCGTGGTAGTTTACCTTCTTTCCCATCTTGTCTTTTTGTTAATCTATCCATATTCGGCGTCACCACCCCATTAAAATCTCCCATCAATATCATTTTCTGGTCCATCCATTCCATTAGTATATTATCTAATTCCAAAAAGAAAGCTGATTTTTTCTCATTCGGGCGTATATTCCAACCACAACTAGATTTTCTCCATGAAACACCATCTGTACCACCACTACTCTCCCATGTTCATCTTTATACAGTAGTTGCGGGTCATATTTTTCCTTTATATAAATTACTACCCCTCTTTTCTTAACCTTGTCGGAGGTCACAAAGTCCAATCCCAATCTCTTATTACTTAATACTCTCTTGTGTTTTCCTATAACATGCGTTTCTTGAAGACAAATTAAATCCCAATTCTTTTTCAACAATACATGTGCAATCTGATTCCTCTTATTTTTATTGTTCAAACCATTGACATTCCAGCTTATTGTTTTTAAAGCCATCTATTAAACTATTCTAGCTAATTTAACTAGATTAAATAGAGACTACTGTTCCTTGCTTTCCTCCTCTTGTTCTTCTCCTTCTCCTGTTAAGCTCTCCTCTTTTTCTTCTTCTTCACTCCCTTCACCCTCCTCGTCTCTCTGTCGTTCCTCCCTTTCCACCTCCCCTTCAACTTTTCCCAGGTCCTTCTCGTATCTCCTCGCAAATTTTTGGAGTTCAATACTGGTGCTTAATTTAAAATTTTTACCTTAAAGTAGAATGAAATTCCTTCGGGAAACTCCCATCTATACAATATCCCATTCTTCTTCAATTGGTTTGTTAATTTTTGTATGGCTCTCTCCTTCGAAGAAATCTCGAAGGAATGTCTCTATAGATAATAATTGGGCTTCCTCCAATATATAACCTTTTATGTGGTTCTGTTGCAGTATTTCATTTCTTATTTCCAAAGTGTTGAACATGACAATTACATCACCTGGCAGCTTTTTCTTTCTGGCTCTGTCTGATTTTGGTCTTATTCGAAAAATATTTACTAAATGGCAGTTTACCTCCTCCTCGCTCTTATTTAACCAAGTTGCCAGCTCTTTTATCATTTTAGATCTAATATTCTCATTTGGGGTCTCTGGTACACCCCTCAGTTTTAGGTTGGTTTGATTTTGCCTCATTTGCGTCATAGCCATATTGTCCAACAACTCCTCCTGCACTCTTTCTATCTCTTTAACTTCTACTCTAATTCTATCCACCTCCTTCTTACTAATTTTCGTATCTTTTTGCACCTTTTTCATTGAATCTTCCAAAACCTTAGTTCTTACTGATAAATCTTTAACCTTTCCTGTCAATTCCCCCACCACTCCCTCCAATTTCTTATCCAAAGTGTCCTGTACCTCAAGTAATTTTCTCTCAATATATTGTTCATTATTTTTGAATTCTTTCCTTATTTCGGCCATCAGACTGCTATAGTCTTTAATTTCTTTACTTTCCTTAGCATCTTCTTGCCTCGACGACCTCCTTTCCGCTGGTGTTGCCACGCCTTTTTTTGCACCGTTTGTCATTTTGTAGGCTTGAAAGGTCTTGGGGTCCACCACACTAATGTTATTCAAAAAGGGATGAGGCACAGGATCACCGATAATCTCTGATGGGTTAATAAGTTACCGGGTCTGGTGTTGGGGTATAATAGCAGATATTAGGCATCACACATCAGGCTATACACAAAGTTTTACAATCTTTACCTTTTACAGTCTTTGTCCTCTTAGAGGGTGGTATTATAGAGGTCTGGCGTCACCAAAATTTTTCTTTACTGGAGACTTGGCAGTTCTTCAGGAAGTGTTCTTTATGCTGGTTTAAATTCTCCTATTTGGCTTTTGGCGCATGTCCCTTTAAATCTCAAATACATGCAGAGGCGTAGTAGATCAAGGACAAGATGGAATGGCGGATAGCAAAGCCAAGTTAGGTCTCGAAATGGCTTCCTCCTCCCTTATTGATACCCATGGGGAAGTCACTAACATAAAACCAACATTAAGGTCTGGGAAGACCCATGCTTTCTTCCACCCACTTCAAACAAAAAGTTGATGTTAACAATAACGTCCTCAAAAAACCTGTCAGTTAAAGCATCAACCAAATGCCCCAGAAACCTCCTTTCCTCCTCTCAAACCCGGTAAAGAGTCTCTCTATCAAAAGAAGAAAACTCAGTATTACCTTGCTTCCAACTCTTTGTACTTTGTACTTTGTAAAATGTACTTTATTATCGAGGATATTCCTTCCCCTCGCTAGCGGTTACTTTCTTGCTCTTTCATTCACGTCTGCCAGCTTTTCGCTTTACTCCTTTATCATTCTTACCGCCAGTAGTGAATTCCTCCTTCCTTTGTCTTTAATTACTTCTCCGCTGGGTACTTCATTCAACTTCATTCAACGTTCCTTTTGTTTTTACTTTGATTGTTTTCCAGTGTTCTCCCTCCTCTGCTTTCATCAAAGCTTTAGAACTATTTCCCAGCTTTTCCTCTGTTGTTGGAGGTCCGCCGCTTTCACTCGGAGCCTGAGGCTTCACAGCATGGAGTCTGATGTTTCCCCTTCTCGCTGCGGCTCCAGCCTTGTTAAACGCCGGCAACACAGGCGAGCACACGCAGCCTTGCTGGGTGTTTTGACCAACAGGATATTCCACCTGTGGTTTAGGGGTTCACGGAGCCTTCGTGACCCCTCTAAGACCCCACGCTGTTCGAGGCTCCTCAGACGAGTTGCCTCGCGCTCCTTCCCGTGGCCGCGGCGTCCCGGAAGCCCCAGAGCCAGGGCCTTTTCAACACTGAAAGATTTGATTATTACAGTTTTCAACATTTTTCTAACATTCATCAATTTTATAAAGCAATCCTAATAATTTTTTTTTCCAAATTTTCTTCCAATCTTCATCCAGTGTCTCTTCCTCCTGGTCCCGGGTTTTGTCAGTCCTTTCTATCCCATCAATCTGGCGCATTAACCTGGTAATCTTATGTCCGAGGCCCTTAAGTCTCTTCCATGTCCCTTCCGCGGCTCTTCTTCATATTTATACCTGTACTTTACTTTGTCTCCTGCTCCTTTCACTCTTGGGAACTCCAACTTGACAGTGTTTTTGACCCTTCTCGACAAATCAGCCCCTTTTCCATAGTCCACACTAAACTCCATGTGGTATTTAAAAACATGTTTCAAAGTCCCTCCAGAATTAAGAGCCCCCACAACCCCAAACATCTCGCGGCCCATTGCCAGACTTGGAAAGTCAAAACATCCCTGCATAGGGGGGTCTATCCAACCCCCCATTTCCAAACCAAACAAAACTCTATCTCTCCAAATCTGGCTTTTTCCAAGTTCATTTATCAGATCCAACAACTCATGTTCCTGCTGGGCCACAACTCCCTCCATCTCTGGCACCCGAGGTTCAGCAACATCCTCTTCCCTCATCTGATCTGTCAGAGCACACTCCTGATTTGATTCCTGGGTGGGCTCTATATAGTTACCCACTACCTGTCCAAAATTTCTGATCGCAACAGTCATCAAGTCCGTCTTCTCATGTAGCTGTTCCAATAGGGCACTTGTTTTGCAGAAAGCACGCACCAGAGCTTCTGGATACATTGTTCTGCAAGGTCAGAAGTCTGTTCCCATGATCGTAATCTGTTGCAGCTGCAGAGCTCCCCGATTCAGATTTAGTAACAGTTTCACAGGCTCCCTCTAGGGGAAGAACTTCTATTTGTTCTTTTCTTTTAAAGGCAGATTTAACAACAAAGTTTCCTTTTTCAGATATTTTGTCAATATTTGTTCCTTTAAAATGCGAAGGAGAACAATGGAATCACTATGTTTCTCTTCTTTTAACTATCTGTCAAAGACGTTTGTCTATGGTCAATGAGCTTCCCAAAGAACGTCAGTCCTGACACCCGGCTCCCAGGTTCAAGACGGTGGAAAATTACTTTTCTTTACACTCTCTTCTGCAGGTTTAAACAGTCCGGAAAAAATCCCCCCTCTTCTCCTGCTTCCGAAGGAGGTTCAACAATTTTAAATGATGAAAGTTAATCCTTTACAAATGATTTTCTGAACTCTAGTTTGCCATGTCTTTGCTTTAATCTATCTACAAGAAACGGAAGGCTGACTTCCTGTTTAGACCTTCCCGTTTCAGTGCCAAATTGAAAAGAATTTCTTAGTCCAATTTTCCTTTCTACTCGCAGATCATTATTTAAAGTCCAATTGTCCGAAATTAAACTACTCACGGGTAATTGTTTTAAAAGCCAAATTGTCCCAGGAAAAAGGCAGCGCTCTCTGGCAACGGCTGTGCGGCTTCGCTCCACGGAAGAAGCAGTTGACTCTCAGCACCGCGCCACTTGCCCCTCTTCGCTCTGGAGCCCGTAACTGGGTTCCTTTATGAGTTGGGGAGGCGCAAAAGGTGCCCGCCGAGTCCCATGGTCACAGGCTTCATCCGCCTGTGATTTTTCAAAGGGTCCCCGCTTCGCCGTAGCGGGAAGACCCGTTTTCCGCGGAGCTAGTCCCTCCGGATCAGAGGGAGTCCGCCATTACCGATGGCGCCACCCCGGAAGTCTAAGAATTCAAAGAATATAAACCACGTGTCTGAAATAAAACGTACAGGAAAGCAATCCTGAAGCCATTTTGACTCTCCCAAATTGACCTCAAATATTTCTCTGCAAGGAGGAAGGAAATGCGAAAGCCTCTCCATTGTCTTTTGCTTACCTGTCTAAAGGTGTATCGGCGTATGAATAGGGTGAGCCTGTGACCTCAATTCCGGAACTAAAGTATTTACCATCACTAAAGAGTGGCCAGGCTGCCCAGGTAAAGCAATCAGTGACCATTAATAGGTATCCTGACAAACAGGATTTCTGCTGGAGACCACCTCCTTCTGTGATGTATGTAGGATGTTTGGGGGATGGTCCTGAGCTACAGGGTGGGCAATTTCAAAAGTCTATATAAGGGCTTGCACACCATTGTTCTGGGTTCCTCCCCCCTCCTGCATGTGGTGGGTGAGGACCCTATTGCAACATAAAGATCAGGCTTACTAGCCGCTTTGCTTCTCAATATTCTCTAGTTGGCCTCTGTTATTTTCTCCTACTGAAAGGGAACCCACTAAGGACTCTATACGGGCTCTTGGATACCCCATAAGGGAAAAGGAGCATTTTTTTCTTATAACAGGACAAATCCAGTCTACTCAGCAGTAGGTCCCATTTAAATCAATGGTACTTACTTTTAGGTAAATCAGGTTAGGATTTCACCCTTACCGCGCATTTTTTAAAAAAACTACCATTAAGTAAGTATCACAGGAAAATGCAGCCACCTCTGCTTTCCAATCATCTTTATTTAATTGCTTGCATGAAGACCAAATTAAGAAAAAATACATTTGTGGGTGTGATTTATAAGCGGAGGGGCTGTTGTCCTGTTGGTATTGCATGAAGACAAGAACAAACACACCACCAGACAAACAAATTACAATCCCCCTGGGGACATGTAAATGGAAACTAGCAATGATTAACAGGAGCGGAAC